GCCCTTATCACCTGGTGAAATAATCCACTGTCTTGGAGTTGGCTGCCAACTCCCACCACATCCTGGCCAACCAGCACTGGACTGGCCTCTGGGTCCTGTCAAACTGGGCTAATATTGCATTTGGTGTTCTCCCAAAGAACAAAGATGGAGGTGTCTGTTCCTGCTGCTTTCACTTTCTCCATCTACTGACTCTTTGCTTGCTCACAGTGGCTATACTGTAGGTCTCACGAGCACCAGGGAATTGCAACATGATATTTCCATTAATACACCAGACTCTTGTGTTATGCTCGATGTTGAGCTAGTATTCGTGTGTGGCCTCCAGCCATCTTTCAAGCCTCCCTTGCAGATCCCTGAAACTCAGAAGCTACAGCAGAGGTGCATTGTTGGTACAAATAAACATCGATTTGCAATTCAAGGAAAAAAGTATCTGTTGGTTCCGAGTAACTCCCACCTATGGCTTACAGTACTGTAGTGATTCATTTCAGTATAACTAGGGGACTGGTTGCAACAGCTTACCATCCTGACTTTTCTGAGCAAGCTCTTATAACACTGTCACCTGCAATTACATTTTTCTGTAATTGCACCATTGTAGCAAACTAATAGAAGCTAGGGGCTCACTTTCACAGCTGTGGTAAATCAGTTCAAGGAACAACACTGAAACAGAGGTTTTACAGATGTTAGGTCTAGCTCCTTACAAGAGAGCAACAGTGAGGTAGTGATCTTCAGTTCAGGGGAAAGAAAATGAGAAAGAGTCAGGTCCAGATGCAAAGTAGATGGGAGTGGAGTTCATGTTCCCCCTAAGGTGCCTTCCTTCTCCTCCATACCCAGGACTGCCATGCACAGGCCACAATGCTGCTGCAGTGAGAGGCCAACTTTGGAGTTATCACTTAAAAACAGTATAAGGAGAGGGAAATTAATATCTTTGTTCAGAAGACTTAAACAAAACTGAAACAATCTACACATTCCCAAAGCCAGGGTAGAAAACTGAACATTGTTCCCTGTGGACAGGGCATACACAAGGGATTAGGGACAAGCTTCATTTAAGCTTCAATTAATTTTAATCTACAGGGGACCAAGTACGCTTTGTGAAG